CGGACCTCTCGAATACGCGTCGAACATACTGACCACTACACTACGAAGAAATGCTAAGAGGACGGGAGAAATTATAATGCCTGTTATTAATCTCCGCTTTTGTAATTGAAACACATAAAGTTTATCTTTAAATTTGCAAATAAATCAATAATTTATTTTATTATTGGGTATATTTAGTTAAATACATATAATCAAACACAAAATGAGTGCAAATTTGTTTTAAGAATGATATAACTTGAATTTTAAGCATCTTAAAATTAAATTCTAAATGTTGTTTATTTCTTAACGTATGCTTAGCTTTGATTCTTTCACAAATGTATGCCAGGAAATGTCAGTCAAAACCTATCTTACTTATTTTTATAAGTTTTTCTTTAACAATTTAATTTTCTCAACGAAAATTTTTAATTAATAATTTAATGATAAATGTATTCTAAAGCTTCTTTAGTGCTATGAAAATTTTTATAGAATTTGACAGTGTATGAAATAGCTTTTTTTTCTAAATCAAAGTCCTTATTAATATTCCAAGATTCGGTGCAGGGTGCAGCTATTCACAGATAAAGGTTGGAACTAAATACAAATGTTTTATGTCTCCAGCCTAAAGAAAAGGTTACCCCATGAGTAAAAATACATCTATTAACAGGCAGACATATGCTCCTACATTTACGCATGCGTGACGACGAAATATTATTTAATGACATTTATGTAGTTCGGAATATACCAATCCAGAGTAAAATATGCGAGTCCAGAACAGAAGTGAATGGCAGCGGAAAGTTCTACTTCCGTTTCGTGACACAAAGTGTATGATTACATAAAACGTTGCATCTAAGTGATTGCCCAAGTATAATGGAAATAGTGCGAGGTTTTAATTAAGGTTCAGGAATGTTTTTCGTCACGCAATATTCCGCCCACCATCTAATGTGGATTCAGCCTGCCCTTTCATAGTGACTATGAATAAATACGAATTCTATTTAGGTGGAATGAAAGAATGGGCTCATTAGGCGAAATAATGGGAACATGAAATAAGCTTACAAGACATGTTTAAAAAATATATATCATATATAAAATATCTATTTACCTGGTAAAATAACAAAAGAAAACCAGTCTGAATTCTTTATAGTAATGGGTAATTCTTAAAACTTTACCATATAGAAAAAAATAACTATATATATATATATATATATAATATATATATATATATATATATATATATATATATATATATATATATGGTATACATTACAAATGGAAATATGGTATAAATTACAAAGATGTGAACTAAATGAATATGAAAGAACAAATAAGATAATGTAATTGCTAAATTCAAAACAGGAAACAAGCAATTGCTTTATAAAAAAAAGGAAAATTATCTACTTTGTAAACGTCCCATTTACGTAAAATATACGTAAGTTTGCTCCCACAATTTTGAAAACTGAGAATATCGCAAACTAGCATATTGTTGAATTTCCCTCATTACAGCCTTATAAACAACGAAAGAACAGTTAGGTTTCATTTCATTGTACAGACATTAGGTTATTTTAAAGGAGATGTGAAAAATGAGCAATGCCCTCGCCGGAAGAAGAACCTCGGACCTTTTGAATGCGCTCCGAGCGTGCTGACTATTTCACCACGAAGGCATACTAAGAAGGCGGAAAAATACGTTATATACTTCCCCATTTAAAGGCCGACTTGGGATTAGGGGACCCAATCGCCAAATACTGGTGTTAAAGAATCGTCATCCACCACCCGTTTCTAGTTTGGGGACGCTACTATAGAGATATTAGGTGTTTTTGGAAAGCAGGAGACGTGAAAAATGAGAAATGTCCTCGCCGGGACTGGAACCTTGGGCATCTAGAATACGTGTCAAGCGTGCTGACCATTACACCACAAAGGCATGCTAAGAAGGTGGGAGAAATACCTTATATTATGATGTTTATAGTTTTGTGACTACTTTGACAGTATATGATATTTCGAGTTTCAGTGATATTTCGGGATCAAACCTCATGTATTCTGTAAACCCAAATATTTAATAAACAAACATTACTTTTTAAAGTCTAGAATGTTAAGTATAATAAGAAAACAGGAAGATATAAGTCAGTAAGAATTCTCTTCAATATTTACACTGCATCAATTGGAAAGATAATATAAAAGTAACATATAAATATAAATTTAATATGTCTTAATCATGTAAGTGTTTCGAAACAGCATTACATTTCAAAGCAAAAATACTTCAAAGCAAGAATAAACTGCGAAATACAAGATGATTCATAATAAAATGAAATATAATAAAATGGTAAGTTTCATTATGCTATTAGCATAAAAATGAGCCGAATTATATCGCACAACCATATCATTTACACCCGCCTACATCACTAATTGTAGTACCTAATAATTTCTTTATTACTATCTGATCATAAAAGAATATAATACTTAATAATTTCCTAATTTTATTATCACGGAATTGGGAAGAAGGGCAAAATTCTGAATCGAAATACGTCTTAAATAGTGTCACATAGTTTACTAAAATGAAAATATGCGTGATAAAATACACTTCTACTCAAGAAAACATCAACATTATAATGGATCGATGGTATCAGTTTAAAACACGTAGGATATATATGTCTCTCTCTCCATATATAGATATATATATATTGATGCTGAGAAGTGGGTATTGTACTATCCGATCCTGAATAAATAAGGCGGCTTGTGTGCCCTTTCGAAATCAGCGAAGAGTTGACATATATATGAAAGGTGTTTTTTTCATTAACTTTAGCATTTCTCGGAAAGAAGATGGCAAAATGCACCGAATGCTTTTAGTTTCAAATTGTAATCAAATATGAGAAACTAAGTTTTCCTACTTTGACATTTTTAACAACACGTCAGAGGTGGAAGTACAGTAATACGCACGTTGTATCTTCGATAATTGAGATGCAAGCACTGTAAAATCAAGGATAAAGTAGTGTAACAATGCAAGTAATATAATGACGTTGTTCTGACCAACCACATATAAAGTGTCTAAAGTGTTTCATAACAGTTATTCGAACTGTTACAGAACATTGTCTCAGGTCATTCGTTGTCCAGTAAGCACTGTTCAACAGCATTTTGATCCTTTTCCCATCTGTTGTAGCGAAATCATTTCAAAGTCTGCCCCAGATGTGTTAAGCTAGAATGAACTCTCGAAAGGAGAACGTGGCTTACTCAGTGGTAGAAAGTTAAGATTTTTTGCGAACTTCACTCTTAAAATTTACGTACCATGATTTTATATTGAGGTTTAAAGCCATGGCACACTAACTGGTAATTGTCAGTGTGTAGCTAATCACGCGGTGCCGGCTTAATAATGCGCCACGATTGGAGCAACACTCGTAGAACATCGAAGGCTTTCCCAACCTTCATGTTTCTTTAATGGTTTCCAAATTTTCCATAAATATTTTGCATTTGACCTCCGTTTGGGGACATTTTGTTACAAAACATAGAAATCTCAAACAACTTAAAATCTGAGAGACTTCTTTCATTTTTTCTCCTTCCTTCAGAAGGTGGAGGCCTTCCTTCCAAGCAATTAAAAGCTATATTTGGGCTGGATTTGCAAGTTTTAATTTTCAAGAAAACGCTTATGAATAACAGATAGGAACCTCTTCCATGGCATGTCCTTTCATTAGACGTCACTTAAGTAAATCTTATTTGGGACACGGTAATAAATGTTAGTTAATCAAAGAAGCGTCTTCACGGCCCACGTTAAAAAAAAAAAAAAAAAAAAAAAAAAAAATTAGGTTCACATTAAAATAGTCTCGCTTATTAGTTATCATTAGGTTAGCAAAAAATTTTCCCGATTCATACCAATCGCGAATTTTCCGATCATACCAATCAAAAATGTTACTGTTGAATGAAATAGTGTTTAATTTTTTAGAGGGGGGGAGAAGAGGGGACATAATATAAAAACCACCCTTTCATCTCTGTAAAAGAAATAAGTAAGACCACTGTTAAAGATTGTAATTTACATTTAGAAAGGTCTATAAACCACAAAAGTATCCTAAATGTTGGTTGTTCAGCAGTTACATATTCATAATTATGACTTGAACTTTGAAGTTTGAGGTCGAATGTTGTCGAATGTTCTTTGAAATTCGGGAGACAGTCAGTGGGCGGGAGACGAACATCCTAAGTCATTGGGGCAAATAAACTTTGCAATCATGACTTCATGATTTGTTACAAAATTTGAAAGAAAATATTTTTAATATAATATTACAATATTGGTTTATAATGGAATACTAAAAGTTAAGAAAACTTCTTGTCGTCGATTTTTATAATATGATGGCTTAAACTTCGCTAGTGTTACATATTTCAAAATGAATAAATGTATTTGAGCTAATTTTGCATGTACAATATTATTCTGTTTTATAGGAGGTTAAATTCGCTCATGTATTTCTAATCCGAATGAGATTTAAAAAGGGGCCCTACATTGTATAATTTTTCAGAAACAGCAAGTTAGTTTATTCCTTTATGATGTATGCTTTAAATTTAGAGTAAAGGTAATTGTTAACGTTATTTTGCTCACTTTCCATTTCTTTAAAGCAATGTTCGCTGCTTGTCTGCAAATAAAACTTCAAGAGCTCTGTAATGTTCTCTCCATTGAATTTATTGAATTAAAGAATTTCTAGGAACGATTATAACGAAAATTAGCTAATAATATACTATTAGGTAGACGCTTGCATTGTAGTAACTTAGTTTTCAAAACACTTGCACAAAAGTGGCCTTTTCAATACCCCGTAAATATTATAGTGATTTTATCAAGCGATTTTATCTTATTTATAGTAAAAGTATATTAAAGAACTATTCATAACTATTTAATTTTTTTGGATAAATCATCTTAAATGTAAGTGAATCTCTTCTATTACGTAGAATACACAAATAGTAATTTTACTGTTATAGTCAAGTTTAAAGGTGTATAATTATTCATAAAATGGTACATAAGCGTTAGAATTACTTATTTAATATCCAGAGAATCTCACCTGCAACGAATAGTTCAGCAGTACCCTGTACGATTTCCTGATCATTGCTAACGAAGCACTGGTACATAGCTGAATCCTCTCGACGCACAGGATTGATTTGCAGGATATCTCTCGAGACAAGGTTTACAGGTCCACTGGCTGCTAAAGGAAGACCATTCTTTAACCACACAACTGAATGGACAGGATGACCCATGACGCGACAACTTAGAGTAGCCATTTTGCCGACATCAACGATCTGCGATTCTGGATCGATTTTTGCTGAAAGCGGAGCTAAAAGATGAAATAAAAGAAAAATACTTTTGTAAAATTTTCAAGTATAAAATGGTAATAATTATAAACAAAGCTTCTGATTTTAAATCTCATGCTCTGTCATTCTGAAAACTGTGACAGACTCTTAGCGTCCGAAGTAGATTTTACATTGCATATAACTACTAGATATTTTTAAAATATTTATTAAGCAACATATTTACCTTACTTTCAAAAAGTATCACCTACATATCTATATATCTAGCTACATAAATTATAATTATTACAATATTTTTAATTAATGAGTTTTTGTTTATATTTTGAGGGTTTTGAAGATTTTACTGGTTTTACATGTCATGTCCTTTGAGGATTTGATTCTAGATTTCTTACTATTTTGTCTATAATTTATAGAAAACTACTAACTTTGCAGAGACATTAGGTATTTTTTGGAAGCAGGGAAGATGAAAAATATGCAACGCTTTCGCCGGGAATCGAACCGCGGACCTCTGGAATACCGGCCCAGTTTGCAGAACCTCTACACCACGAAGGCACGCTAGGAAGTCGGGAGAAATACCTTATATACTCTCCCTTTTAAAGGGCGATTGGGGTTTTTAGGGGACCCAAAGCCCAAATACTGAGGGAGGAGAATCATCATCCAACACCCTTTTAGTTCGGGACGCCACTGTAGAGACATTAGGTTAATTTGATAGCCGAAGAGATGAAAAATTAACAACGCCTTCGCCGGGAATCGAAGCACGAACCTCAAGAATACCAGCCCAGCGTGCATATCTACTACACCAAGAAGACACGCTAAAAAGTTAGGAGAAGTACCTTATAACTTTAATTTAGAAATAGTCCTTTACATTCTTGATTTTAATTTGGCGACATTCTGTTCCAGTTTTAAAAGTTCTAGTACATGAATGTAAAAAGCGTCATCTGAAAATTAGTCCTCATTATGCCATTATATAAGTGTAGCATTGCGGATATATTTATTCGATTACAACTCAAAATTTAATTGAAGACCCCGATTCTTTAAACATCGCTTTGCTAAAATGCGCACCTTACTTTTCCTGCCTTCCTTTAGCTTTGTCATGATGTGCTTTTGATAGCTCTGCTTTGCCTAACGTTTAAAGACTATATATATATAGCGATGGCTGGCCATTTTTAGGCTTTTGAAGGCTACTAAGGCCAAAGGTGGAGGTCATTTTATTATGGAGGCTCCTAATAGGTGGCTACCGTTAACTCCTATGAGAGAACACACAATTTCAATCCATACTTCTCCGAGATTCGAATCCGGGCCCTTCGATATCGCGATCGACTCCCCTAATCACTTTACCCGTCTGGGCAGCATAAGTTTAAAATATAAATAGCTATATAAAATTTTCATCTCATGCCGCATCCATAATGATGATGTGTAAAAATGTTTATGCTTATCAAGGCTTACATTATTACGAAATAAAACAGTATTTACAACGGCCAGGTCTGAGAGTCTTTTTTTTTCTCCGTTATATCATCTCAGGTACTAGTCTGCCTTTTAATCTCAAAATATCTACAGAATATGTTGCAATTTAATTATTCAGACAGAAATTTTAACCTGTCTTCACAATAATAGAAAAGTGTCTGCAAGTTCAAATCTAAAAATTAAAAGTAATTCTAAAGATTAAAAAGAGAATGTGAGATTACGACGCCACTAATTTGATGATCATAATAAAACCTCTCACACATGGCCGTTGATTCTACATTGCTTTATTTGGTAATAAAGAAAGATGCGCATGAAACATGTTCAGAGATCATCAGTGTGTATGTGTGTGTGCACTACGCGCCGTACTATTTTATATAGCTAATTACATCTTTAAACGATGGACAATACAGATTTATGAGGATCGCATGTTGGTACAGCATCAGCAAAGCAGCAATTGCAAAGTGCGCCATTTAGCAAAGTGATATTTATAGAGTCAAATTCTTCGCTTAAATTCTGAGCCGTGATTGGATAAATATCCGAAATGCTACACTGACATAATGGCATAATGCGGATTAGTTTTCAGATGACACACTTTTGATTCATATATTAGTAGTTTTAAGACTGCACGGAGAAATAGCCAAATAAAAAGGACTATTGCTAAATTAAAGCTACTAATTTTCTTTCATATTTCATAACTCACATGTGAACAAGTTAATATAATGCAGCAATTATTATTCAAATAAAGCCTGTTTTCTTAAATCCTGGGATTGAACTAAATCTATAAGAAAAATATATTTGATAATTTTTAGATATTTAAAGATAAACTACTATGCATAAAATTCTGAATATGATATTTAATCAGTAATGTATAGCCCTCAGGTGTCTATAAAAAATTTTCCTTGTTTAGTTTTTTAATTAATATATATTATAATTTAATTTCATACAAATCTTTTGTAAACAGTTTTTTTTCCTCTTCGGTAAATGTTAAAGAGGATAAAATTATTCTCCAGGAAAATAATTAACTGGTACGTAAAAATAGTTTTACATGGATTGGTTACAGAGGGAACAAATTGGAGGAACATACTTTCTGAATTTATTTCAATATAGAAATATGAAAAATTCTTCAGGTTCAGATTTATAATGTTTTAAAAACGAATATTTATTTGCATTATATTTGCGAAATCCACGAAATTTAATTACGTTAGTTATTGAGCAGCATTTCTCTACAACAAGATGTCTAACATGAATGATTTAATTATTCAATTCATTTATCATTGTGTTTTATCTAAATTATAAGGGATAAGACTCTATATACATCAATTAGAATGAAAAGCCATAAATTAATAAAAATATATATGTGATTTATTGTTTCCTGGTAGAATTATGGAAAAAATAGCAAAGAAACAGCTTTGTATTAAATAAAAGATTACAGCGTAGATTTAGATAAAAATCTCAATCCATTTCGATGGCAAAAAGGTTCCTTTTCATTAGGAGCAAAGGAATTAAAAAATTTTATTATTTTAATTTTTCAGTTTTCGTTGCTAATTTGGGCGACAGATGGCGCTGTCTTCCTGTTTGCTTTACTGCAGTAAGGTGTAAATAGTACCGTTACGCCCTCTGCTTTCCAGTTTTGCAAATTGCTTTGCTCCTGATGAAGAGGGACCTGTTTGTTCTCGAAATTGATTAAGTTTGAAATCTAAATCTGCGCCAAATGCAAGGTTGTTTCTTTACAACTTAATTTTTTTTAATTGATTGTGAAATTTGAAAATAAGTGCGTTTAGGCGAATATGCTTAAGAGAAAGTTTGGAGAAGAATTTAAGGGGAATTTTCGAAAGTCTGCAGCGCAGGAATGGTCAATCGTTTTGGGAAGAGTGCCACTATCTGGGAAAAAATATTTTGGTCACTTCCACACTTTCCATTATATAAAAAATATAAAAAGATAAAAAAATGTTCTTTTACCAAGTTACCTATATTAGAATTAGTTCTTGAAGATGCTAACTTAATTAGGGGTTTTAGGTGCGTATCATTTAATCCTGACCGATATTTTGATTTCTTTATGTTCATAAAAAAAATTCATAACTAATATATGATCATCCAAATCTACATTAATATCTGACAGCCAAATCGTGTAAATTTAGGAAACTGCTTGGTAGAATTTTCCATAGTTCAATATAATTCGGATCACTTGCAACTGAAATAATTTCCTTATATTTGCTTTCACTGTAATATGGTGCTGTAGGACAATAATTTCGATTTGGATAACGGTTGGATAGCAACATCTTGCAGAGAAATAGAAGAAGGATTTCTGACAATAAATCAGCATTTATTTAATCATCTTTAAAATCACCATTCATTTATCATGAATCCTGCAAAATTAATGTTGGATTTTTAAATCTATCATATTTTGGACCATTATTCGTTTTAGTAATTAACTCCTGTGAAATGTGTTAAACTTTTTGCTCCAAAATCGAGACTAAAATGCAAAAGTATATTCAGAAGAGAAGATGTATGACAAATGAGAGTAGGAAAAATACAACATTTTTCTTGTAGTCCTAAATTGTTTACCCCATAATAAGAACGAAAAATCTGGATCGGAACGAAAACGTTGCACGTAAACTAAATCTAAAACTAGCCAAACGAAAAAACTAAATCCCATAGACAGCCAGCGATCAGAAAACGCAGATGGATGGTACATGAGATTATTTAGATCTAGAACCCCGAAGGAACACTCTAAGAAAGAGACTATCATGTCCAGAATATGCTGAACGTCAAAACAAATTCGACTAGGATCAAGGTCCAAACTAAGAAAAGGAAGATGATCGTAGGTTACCAGCCTGAAGACTAGCGCCGTAGACGAATCAGAGTTAATTGAAGCATGGCTTACCAATCATGGAGTTAATATGTGGCAAAAAAAATATTGGTCGACTAACAGCAGAAGAAACTGCAAGTGAAATTTTACTTTATTTCTTCAAGTAGAAGTTTGTTTTATGTGTGTTTAAGCATATGTACGAATTTGCTAACAGACTTTTGCCTTGCCTCAAGCGAGAATATTTAAATTGTTAAATGAGTTTTTTTTTTTTTTCTTGATGTATTCATCTACATTTAAGAATATACATTTGTGTGCTAAACACACTTATGTTAGTTTGTTAGAAAAGATTGTAAATATTAGAAAACTGTTTACTAATTCAGGTCAAAATAATAGGAATTTGTATAGCGTTTCTGCTTTTTTATGCAAAGTAAAAATTAAGTAAATTTAATCATTTGATATTTAGTATTAAAACTACATTGTAAAGAAGCATTTACATTTAAACTAATACGTTTTTATTCAGTTATCTTTTTCTATTTTCCCAGATTTCCATTTCCTACTAAAATGATATTTCAGGTTCGAGTGTTATGCAAAGCTGGGTAGAAAGATACTACTTAGGCTGGTGTCTGAGTTGTCTTGCTATTTTACTATCATACATGTTAATTGCCGCCTTGTCGTTATCGGTGGTAGGGCTAACAGCCAACTCGTGTTAATTATGCCTGTGCAGCCGCAGCTGATTATTTAGCTCTGTTTTAATTTTATATTTCTATTTTGAGTTGCAAAAGAAAGTATTGGCTAAGTTTGTGAACACCAGGAGTGTCGTCTGTAAATTTCTTCTTGAGTTGAATAAAAGGGTTTTCTCACTCTCGTACGTCTTGCCATTAATACAGTTTGAAATTAGTGAATAGTCCCTTCACGGTTCAAGTAAAGATCTAGCCAGCAAATATAGCTAGAATCTTATAACATAGATAATATATGTATATAGATAACATAGATAATATATGTTAAGAAACAATGTAATGTAAAAGCAAAATATATGCTGACAGAGTGCATTGGAAGAGTCTGTATCACAAATAGACTTTATTTATATATTAGGCTCTCTAGTCATAACTTTTAAGTTCAAATGAAATTTAAGTCTTAAACATTTTTCTAGATTATTTACGGAGAGTAACTTGCGGCTTTAAGGTCACATGTGCCCTTTTTAAGTCTTTTGTGCGGCGTTATGTATTAGTTTACAACTTGCAAATTAAAAATCAAATACGCATACGACACTCTATCACAAGTTCGAAATTTAAAAAGCACACAATAACGGTCACACAAGTGTAATGAGGTTATCATACCTAGCGACATGGCGGAGCTAGAAAAAAAAATTTTGACGAACAAATTTCTCGAAGACTAGTTAACCAAATGGTTTCTTTGGAAAATGAAGTTTTCTCGTAAGTCAGCCAATTCGATAACCTGAATGGTGAGCTCCCAAAAATATTTCTTTCGAAGCGATATTGAAGGTAGCAAGTAGATATAATACTGACTTCATGCACACTCGTGATCTGAGCCAAACTGGGTGTTTCGCGACGTTCTTTTCTGTTCTCGACTACTCGATTCTCACTCGGTGCAAATGCGAAGCATTACTATTTGAACGTAGCAGTACGTCATAAATACTTTCATTCAGCTGATCGCCTGTACTTACGTTTATTTGAACGTAAAATGTAATTATACGTTAATTGTCCATGATATCTGAAGACAAGAGAGATAAAAATACGCATATAGGAAAGAAACAAAACAAAGTTGGAAAAAAGAAAGCTGAGCGATTTCTGTAACCGTTATGTGTAACTTTAACCGTATATACCTTCCAGTAATTTCGAGAAGTGGAAGGTACTAGAAATTTCTCGACGACCTAAGAAAAACTGTATAAGACAGGAGACAGCATCAGTTTCTCAGTTGTTTAGTTCAGCTGGAGTTAGGAGTATTGAGAGATCTCCGAGGGAGCTTTGCCGTTTTAGATGCGCTTTACATTGCATAGCGTTTCACGTTCTTAGTAGCTTGATGTATGTCTACTTATTGTTCTCTATGACACTGAAAAGAGCTATAGGAGTATTTCTGTGGAATGTTGGAGAGCTGTAAATGGGTTCTTTTGGTAAAAATAAATTTTTTCACGCTATCAACGGTGTGTGCATTATATATTGTTACGAAATGTCCAGGTGCGGTAAGGCAGCTTCCTCGAAAAGCAGTTTTAGCATTGCCATAAAATGACAAGGGACGGCAGAGTTGCCACATTTGGCGAGAAATCGCTCATTTAGCGACAAAATTGGCGATATACCATGGCCGGATTCCTTCTGGAACGAATTCTTACCGGTTTAGCCCAGAATGTTCTCGAACACAATCCGGAAGCTATATAAACCCTGCTGGAGAGTGCGAGGTAGTTAGTCTCGAGTTAGTCAGTCCTGGCGGAGTCGATCGAGTTGACAACCGGCCAGCGAGTGCCGAGTGGGTCGTCGAGTGCATCGAAGAGTCTGTTAGTGTATCGCGGTTAGTACATCGTCGAGAGAGTTTGTTAAGCTCCGGGAACGACTAAACCGAAGAGTCGGGAGCTGTGCTCTGTATGTCGTCGAGTGCATTGCGAGTTCTGGCGTGGAGGGTCTAGAGATTACAACTAGCAAATTAATAATGGAATTCCGAGAACGACCAAGCAGAGTCGGGAGCTGTACTCTGGTGCTTTGCAGTGAAGCTATCTCCACCGTTATTGCCTGACAGTGTGAACGCTGTGTCGCTGGTTGTTCCAGGGTGTTTATAGTAGATCTTCTACGACTGTAAAAGTGTTTTGGAGCTGTTCTTATTGATATTGGTAAATAAAGTGTGCTTTGATACTTCATGAAGTTATTCACTCAAAATCCACACGAACCCCGTACGAATGTGAGCGGAGAAAATAACGTGACAGCTGGTGTCAGAAAATAACGTAACAATATACTAGGAACCCATAAACATGCAGCATTATATTACATAAGGAAAGATACCATGTTAATTTTCCCTATTATTGTAAATTTAGTTGATTATCAGGGTACGAATTCTCAATAAAGTTTTAACTTTAAGGAAAAAAAAATAACATTTCACAAGGATGGAAGAGAGGAAACATGGAATTGTTAGATATAAATAAATTTGAAAAACTTTTGAGTGTTTGTCAGATATGATGGCAAAACAAAATGATTTAATTAGTTTCCTGCAAGATAAAGCAAAACATATGTATTGGTAAGTAAGTCGTTTGAAAGAAGCTGACATCTTCAAAAACTGCAAGCTTTCGCTCTCAAATGTATTTAGACATTTTCAGCTCAAATCAAGAATATGAGCACGAAAACTTCGATAATTATGTAGTTGCCTTAAATTTCTTAATTACATAAAAAGATGTTTAGATTTTGAAGAGAATATGTCTTACAGTGCAAATCTGCAATTCACTTTTGAAACGCATCTGATCAATATCTCTAAAGCATCCACTTAACTATGCATGGAATAAAATACTATTATTAAATCTCCTTTCTTTTGGATACTGAAAGGAATTCTAGTGAATTATGAAAAAAGGCTGGTGAATACCGAAACCTACGTGAACATGCACACCGTTGTCTTTTCAGCTTTGGAAGTGCTCATGCAAATCAACATTTTCACATTCATGTATGAAAATTAAAAATCATTTACGGTCATATATAACTGATATCCGTTTCGAAGATCAGTTCAAACACTGGAACCGTATATTGGGCTACTTTAAACAACACACAAATGCAAACGTCGTATGAAATTACATAATGACCTTGTTAAAGTAAATTAAAACAATTACCAGATATTTTTGTATCGTTATGTGTAACTCAACCGTAAATTTCAGTTTTTGTACTTTTGTTTATATACAGCAAATCTGTTTAAAATAATTCAGTAATAATTGTAGAAAAATAACACAGTTTTTCAACTTTAGTGGACTTTTGCCCTGGAGATGAAACGTTAATACGGCCTATAAGAGTAAAAAGTCTCCTCATCCCTTCTATAGATTTGGCAAAAGGGTATGGTTAAGGTCTGATATGTTTGGGTGTTTTAATGCTGTAGGAATTTGATTAGCAGATAGAAGTCGTTTAAATAATTCAGTACTATTAGTTTCTTCACCCAGCACAAAGCTGAAGAACGAGATTAAAATGATGTTAATACGGAAGAAAGGGAATTGTACGTATATATTGTATATCTCAAGTATTTTCAGCTAAAGTATGTTTGCTTTCAGGATTGGGGAAGCAGATATGATCCAAAGAAAGTGTCAGAAAAATTGTTAGGTGAACATAGGTTCAGAATATTAAGTTAAATGAGATTTGCAAGAGTTGTATGGAGATTTAGGTTTCAGAATACTTACATTTTGGATTAGTTTGATTTTGATGGGAAGAGATGAAGAGTACTCTATATAAATTAAACAATTATTGAACTTTTACTATAACTTCTTTTCCGTGGTCCTCACCAGGATGCAAATTAAATACTATATTTAATTGAAAAGTTTTAATTTTTTAGTATCAGAGCTTTTGACAGCGCCAATTGCAGCTTACGTCATATTACCCAGCTTTGAAACTGAATATCCCGGCGTTAGCCACTTGGCTAGCCCACATAAAAGGACTCCATTAAATTATTGATTCAGCATGTGTAGACCGTTTTAATGCAGTCTTTCACTATATTGAAGTTTCAACTTACTTTATTTAAACTACCAGAAAGTATTAATTTAGCAGTCAAACAACAAAACATCAGCGTTATATTTTCAAATTTTCACAGGACTTTCACTAGTCTCGTTAAATTTTGAAAATATAACGATGATTTTTGTTGTTTGAGTTCTAAATGAATACTTGTTCGGCGTGTTATTGTATCATAATTACCAGAAAGTGGCTGAGTATCATAATTATCAGAAATATCATCATACCAGAATTATCATAATTATTGTATCATAATTACCAGAAAGTTGCTTTTACACACGCATTTTGCTTTCTGTTCAATTTAAAGAGATAACATTTTTTTAACACTCTTCGGTCTTTGTCCTGATATTTTTTACTGAGCAAAAACTCGCTATCAGATTAACAGGGACAGAAGAACACTGATTTAATTCCTAGCAATTAGGACCCTAGAAGGTAAGGTGACGGTCACATCAATGAACTAATAATTACGCAATTAAATTTTGAGTTAGTTTACATGTAATTACAGTCTTAAAATCCATAAATACTTATGCTACATGTTTATAAATAAGTTCATATTTTAGTCAGATATTATATCAGTGTAAAGCTTAAACATTTTCATACATTTTTATTTAGAAGCCGAATGACTTTGTTACAGCATATATCTTGAGGTTTAAATTACAGAGTTCATCATAATTACCGTTTAAATATTTATTAAATTTAAAGCCTTAATTTCAGCTTAAAGCCTTAAATTTGTTACACTAAACTATTTTGAAATTAAATTACATTTTATATATCTGATAACGTTTATGAATTAATAATATACAAGAACAACATTTCTGTATTTTAGAAGAAACATTTTACATTGTGTAATAAAAATAAATTACAAGATATAAATAAAAATAAATGTTCAAGACGGCTGCATGGTATATGTTCTGATTAACTTATTTTTAATACTTTGCCATCTCTAATTAAATTGTAGATTCCAAAAATATTTATGTTTATGGATAAATAGCCTAAAAAAATTTCCAAAATAAAAATACGACGCAATAGATTGAAACAAAGAATACGAACCTGAAACCAAGAGTTTCGTTTCGGATTTGTCTTGCCCCACTGAATTATTAAGCTCACAAACATAGATTCCTGTATCTTGAATAGCGGCATTCTGAATTATGAGGACACCATCTTTATGAAGGATCCTGTCCCCGAGATGAAATAAGTTAATACGATCCCCATCACGTCGTCCCCATCTGCAGGTAGGATATGGGAAGCCTTGTCCAACACACGGTAAAAATACTTTTTCTGACTCTCGAGCTCTGATAATTGGTCGGGATTCCGTTATAGTTGGCGGTAATGAAGCATGAGGCTCTGAAATATAATAATGTACATAGACAAATATAGGCTGAATAAGTAAAGAATATATACAAAAAAATAATAATAATAAAAATAAAAAGATCTGAAAGATTTCAGATTTTAAATTACGTCCAAAGGGGGATTATTAATGTTTTGTTTGTTACCTTTACTTATTAAATATCATGTTCTTCGCACTTGAACCATAAAATTCAGTTCAACAGCGATATCGCAAAATAATTTCAAATTGAGCATATTTTTAGTATTTCCGATACACAGCTCAGCGCGCTGGAGATAAAAAAGCGTTTTTCTGTCGCAGATTGTTGCCATTGCTCGCTTTTAAATAGTTGAGTTTGTTAATCAAAAATTTCGCTAAAGTTTTAAAAAATATGAAATAGATAATAGAACAAATTCCAAATTTTCCAAATGCCCATATTCAGGTGGAAACGTACGCTATTTGAAATTGTATGGGTCTAAGTACCGTTGCTTTATCATAACGCGAGAAACATACATACATTTATGCAGATTCTTCATTATTTAATGTTTTTAAATATAATACAGGGCGATAATATTTGGTGGCAACAATTTGGAAAGTGAATCGGACGTTTATAGTTAACCAACGCAAAATACCAAAACGAAATTAATAGTCCTTCAGGGTAAATTGCCCCTTTGGACTAACAATTTAACATTCACTATGATATTACAATTATAAATGATGCATGAAAAAATCAGACAGAAAAATATAGCTTAATATTAACACTTGGATAAAATTCTATTAGAAGTTTATTCAGTCTTTTTCTTTCTCCTGATAATTTATGAATTTATACTTTGTAACTATGAATGCTTTGTTTGTGCTCATATAAATGGGATATTAAGGCTCTAATTTAGTTAGTTAATATTTTCCTTTCTGCTCGCACGTATATATGATAGCATGATATGCGCATGCATTGAAGAGACAGAGTCGTCAATTTCGCAGTGTCAGATATATTACAGTAGGCCATCTCAAAACGCATGTTTAATTTTCCTATATTGAAAATGAATGTTTTTAACAAATGGAATGGAAGAGCAATAAGATATATATAAAATCTCTTTCAAACGCATAAATACAAATCAACAATGAATACTACTTTTTTAAATACCGTAAAGCATATGAGAAAAAAATGAAAATAATGCAAAAATGAAGCCCTTGATGTCTACAGCTGACAGGCGCATCAAACACTTTATCATCAAGAATGGTATCGAATGTGAGGACAGAGAATAAGGAGAAAAAATTACGCTTCTTCATGCGAATTTCATAAAAATAGTAAAGGCAGAAAAACAAAATCGTATAATATGACGTTCGGTAAAACAGGGCAAAACACAGGTGAAGGGTTTATTTCAATAAAATTTTTTCTATTTCTTTATTATTTAATTTTCTCTTAATTATTTTATTTTTCCAAGGGAGACGTGACGCGTGAAAGGGCATAAAATTCCTGAACATAAGATGACATTTTTCACCATATTAAGGAGTTTTATTCTTGTCTCACTGTTTCCTTGTTTTTATATCTTTGATTAAAATATTAGACATAGTAAATAAAATTTTTCCAAGAGTTATGCACGCGACGGTTAGATTAAAAGAAATAGAAAGCAGAGCATTGTTCAACACCAGATAACACAGGAACATGAACACGTTTATCCATGAAGGAAAACAAGCATTACGCACAAATATGAGAACAATATTTAGTTTCTGTAATTTATATGGTGATGTCACGCTGGACAATGTTTAAAACTAAATACAAACAAGTAAAGCTGACATTAATAAGTTATGTAACAACTCTGGACCTTTATTCAGACTCTGAAGCAATTGCCAAAAATTTTGGTAAGGTAAACCGTTTTTGGCAATCTCATTAGGCAGTTTCTATCCACTTGAGAATGGTTGGAAAAGGTCCCGCTTATAGAGAAAGCGCGCCCATAGGCACTTCAAATATCTTCAGTGGGATTAAAAACTGTGCAATACGGCGGACATTCCGGAGAAAAAACGCTGTCTTTTTCCCCAAGTACTCGTTAACGACGAAGGTCTCCCTCACACACGTATTATTATCCATATGGAGGGAATCAGGACCAACTACTGACGCGTACAGTGTTGCAATAAAATGTAGGACTTCATCTCAATCAGTTGGATGAGAAACGCTATTGAAATTCCTCTTACACTATAATACTGCCACTTGTAAGCGTATTTATTTACTTATGGTTTAGTTAAACTGCCATTAAAAGGTTTTAGAAGTTGGAAATAACTTCTCGTTCGTTGCTAGTCCTATGGGTGCTTATTTTCTTGTATGGGTTTATTTCTCTCACTCTTCTGTAAAGTTGTGAAAGATTAGTTGGTAAATCCAACAATCATTGTATTTTTTTTGTAACCTCTTTGCCTTTGTAATCTACTCGTTTAAGGTTTTTTTTTTTTTTGTAATTTACTTGTCTCGTGATCGAGTAAATAAACGCCTTTTTTCTCCTACCCCGCATTTACTCGATTACAAGAAACTTGCACAATCAATAAAGGGTTATAACCAAGCTGTAACTTTTGTACATATTTACAATTTGGCATCTTGTTGCCTGCAAGATTCATTTACCAGGATGTCTCGTGATACTTTTTTTTTTATTAAACCCTTGTATTGTCACGGAAACTACTTGTTTCTCTCCTTTTTGGCAACAATACTCGTTTAGAAATGCTTTTAACATTATCGCTTGTAAGTGTTTTTTTAAATTACATTTTCGTAAGCTTCTTTTTCAGAAGGCGGTCTCTTACGGCTGAAGACACTGACATTACACGTACGCACGTAATGTCTTTGTAAAGAAAGCAGAAGTAGTAGGAAATAAAACATCTATGTCTGGTGAAGGTTTGGAGACAGAAATCCGTCTTTGATCGTCTTATTGTGACCTCTGAGAAGATGCTGTATGTGAAACGCACATTTGTTAAGTAATCCCAAAACTATTGGTAGAGAGTAATGGAAGCCTGGTGCAGAAGGTGTTTTGCTTCTAAATGTGAAATAGGGACCTCTGGGTCCATGCGAGAATTCCTTGAGGACTTCGGCTGTATCATTCCCTGATGATCTCTAACTCAGCTAAGCTAAACTGCCTTATGGAACGATCGAATGTTCTCTTAGAGATTTGATGTTAAGCGATGCAGTCCCTTTTTTTGCTAAGCTGTTGCAGAACGTTGAAAACAACGAAATTTAACTCCTTAGATCCGTCGCTGAAAATTTTTAATTATGTTTCCCTTTGGAAGATATTTATCACATTTTTGATACAATATTTGTGCAGGGTAGAAGATGGGGTTTTATCTTTGGTCTGTGGCGTGCCTGTAAATAATTATTCTTCCTTTTATTTTGACATGCTAACTATAATGGATACGTCTGTAAGCATCACTCAGATGTGCAGGAAGAACCCTCGCCTTATCGGGAAAGCTACTGTGGAAGTTACCGAGAAGATTTTCGTGATTTTGAGAAAAGCAATGCTTTGTATTGGCAGGAGCTTTGTATTGACTCGGACTGTGCCCATCATGCACATTGGACAGCTGTCTCTTACCATACGTGATATGGAATGCTGCAGTTCTCCTACGTGAGCCCAACATACCATATTTGAAAGAAGATACCATTATTTTCCCAAGATACCATATTCACCGAAACGTAACCTTACATATCAAGTTTTAAATGCACCTAAGATATTTCGGAATGCTGTGAAACGTTATGGAGGGGGATCACTTCAGTACTAGTCTTGTTCACATGAATATTACTTATTATGTTATTCCAAGAAAGTAAAACTCACGTTCAGAATTTAGAAACATTTCATGAGGTGTAATATGTTTAAAATTATGCACGTAAATATAGCAACAAAATATAATAGGCACTGATGTTTTATTTCTCACATTTTTTATTTCATGATTGTAGGAAAATATTCTATTTATGTAAATATAATCATTATTAGTGATAATGCGAGTAATTTGAATTTTTATGTAATAGCAAGCATTACAGATTTCGGTTTACATTATAAGTTACAACATTTAAGTAATATGGAAGCATACCAACATTTCAAAAAATGTAGATTTTGAAGGAATTAATTCTGCATGTTAGATTTAATTGCAAAATAGGCTCACTGATAATGTGCCCTCCATATTCGTTGGTGCTCGGGAAATTCATTTTCTATGTTGTACTTAATTGAAAAACACGCTCATTGATAATGTGCACTCCAAGGTTCACTGGTGTACGGGAATTTCATTTTCTCGACGTTGGGATTGAAGAGGTAAAGAGCCTGCGCTTAACATCCCAAATATGGCTCACCATCCTGTTGAAGTTGTTAATAATTTTATTGGTTTTAGTCCTAATTACCCCCTGATGTGAGAGAGAAGTAAGTTTATTATTCACCAGGAATCTCAAATATTTGAAAGCAACATACTTGATACTAACAACATACATTCAAAGGAAGGTTATTCCATTTTATCCTAAGAGTAGCCAGTTTGTACTCTTTTTTCAAAATTATAATTTTCTTACTTCAGTGCTCAAGTTTATTTTGATTATCTAACTCCATAGTGCGATGACTTCCAAAGGTTTTTAGGCGTTTCTGCAGACGCTTATTATAAACTTTTGAGTACTCTTGAATGTCTCCGATATCTATCAAGAATGCTATTGGCAATTTATGCGTCATAATATTTGTCCTAAGTTCGAACCCTGCGGTGCTCCTTTATTATAACTTTGAGTGACGTTAACTCCTAAAAGTGATACTTGTATATGATTTTTTTTTGTTGTCCAGGTCTTTTTTTATCAGCTTAAACAGATTTTGCGTTCACTTCATCCAATTACATCACACAGATGCGCATCCCCTTC